ACTCAGGGCGCACGACGATGCCAGCGAAACTTAATAAAGGTCATGGCATCGTGTTTCCAAGGCCAACGTGAGAGATCGGTCGTGGGAGCTGACGTGCCGAAAGTGCGTGGTCATATGTGCGCCGAGGCTAGTGGTGGGGAAGCGGATACGGGGGATGGAGGATGGTGAATTGCGCACTCGTGTTCAAAGCGGAACAAAGTGGCAATAGTGAAATCGTACGTGGCGGTCATCGAGGGGTTGTCGTTACGGAAGTCGAGATCGAACATTGCAGCTGTGTGCGGGTGCGGCGCTGCGCATCAATGGACATCCAGGTGGCGCTGAGAGGTCGTGTCCTCAGTCGTACCATAACTTTTTACGAGATGAGGCATCGTCGAGGAGAGAAGGACGGCAGGTTGTTTGATTTTGTGGGCGAGGTAAGTGGACAGGAAGTGCGGCATTACGAGGTGGACACGAACGGTGACACGATTCTCAACGTCATCGTTGCGTTGGGATATGTGGATGAAATGCTGCGCGAGGTGGTTGGCTACGCAACGAAAGTCCGCCGCGCGATCCCCGACCGGTGGGAAGGAGGAGTAGACGTTCTCGCTGACATCGTCGACCTCCTGATGTCCAACATCGCGAACGAGCACGACGACCACATGACTGTTCCTGCGGATTTCCGGGTCTGGCCGGATCCTCCCTTGCACGACCGCCCGGGTCTCCGTGGCGAGATCCGCAACATCGATGAGTAGGTGTGGATGGAAGCCATGGCGGCAAACCGTTCGCCGCTCGCACTTGAGAGAGAGAGAGAGAGGGAGAGAGAGACAGACCCGGAGAGAGAGAGAGAGAGAGAGAGAGAGAGAGAGAGAGAGAGAGAGAGAGAGAGAGAGAGAGAGAGAGAGAGAGAGAGAGCCAAATCATGTTCCTTATGGATGACGTGCTTATGTTTTTTGTTTGGCTCATCTTCTTCGTTTACGATGGACAACAACTGCGTGTCCCTGTTCGTCGAATGTTGTGGAGAGACGTTTCCCCGTGTACTTCTGTTGGCATGCGGCACAAGCATGGCTCACATTGGAACTGACATGGTGGGGGAGGTGGTAACACATGCGCGTGGCGCATTTAGGGTTTGTGAGGTGGTGGTGGAGTTGTTCATCACGTTTTTTTAAGTTCGCATGCACTTTCAGGGTTCAATTGTGTTGGYTGSTTTGTGTCTTTTGCCCTCTKTTTTCCTACGAAGTSTGGATTTCAGATTGTGAAGAGAGTATGTGCTTTTGCGTGGCTATTTTTTGTYGCYAGTGGGTGTGCGGATGTCGATTACATTCGGGTTYTGTACTGTGCCRAACACATACAAAGCTCATGTGCAACAAACTTWTGTTGTCTGCTTCGCCTCACCCATGAACGATTGTAAAAATGAGAAAGCAAATAAACACACACACTTGTTATCTTTTGGGAAAAAAACACGCAGAATGAAATACATTTACCGTCCACGCGGAATATCAATAGGACTTGAACAACATTATGAGTTTGTGAAAGGAAGACACAAAATGTTCTCTTATATAATAAACTAGAACATGAACGCAGGAGATAAAATCAACGAGCTGTCATCACATAAACACGCCGATTGAGCGATGCACGATCGGCCCATTCCCCACCGCCGACGACCACACACGCCACACTAAACCAAAAAAAGGCAACCACCATTGATTGCTTCTCCAAGTGGAGAAGGATTGACTGGCGTCGTCTAAAGCAGTAAACCCTGTAATCGACACACCCATAGACACCGAACATGATCGTCGGCCGCACACCCAAAGATTCAGTTCATCATTCGCATACGTAACCCGTCACGTAAAGCTAGGGCAGCGTCGGTTGCGCCCGATTGCGACACTGGTCGTGGCGGATCTTGCAACCCTAGATCGACACAAACCAGATTGCCGTTCTTGTCCGGCTCGAGAAGGACAGAGTCGTCGTGGTATGCCCACCTCACGCAACAAGTTGTGGATGATACAAACAGCCAGAAAATGTTGAGGCAGACTATCCATGTTAGTCTTGTGATGGCGGAGGAACAACCTCCACATCCCCTTCAAACGCCCGAAAGCCCTCTCCACGACTCCTCTCATCGTCTTCTACCGCGTGTCAAACAATCCGATGTCCCCTGCTTGGTCTGTCCCCCCTAGGGGATCACCATCTACGTTCTTGGCGAGTAGCCATTGTCCCCAAGCAGGTACCCTGTTGTGGACACCCCCCCTGGCAGCAGAACAAGTTCCGCGACGAAGAGCTCGCCCGCCTCCGCACGTCGAAAGAGTGAAGAATTTCTCAGAACCCGCTGGTCGTGGACGCTCCCCGAGTATCCCATGAACACATCGAGAATTCTCATGTCTAGGTCGACGACAACTTGGGTGACGACCGAGAACTGCTGTTTTCGATCGAAGTAGTTCTCCGACGGTGCGTTGGCGGGCTTGTCCACGTACACGTGCGTGCAGCCGATTGCGCCGAAACAATTAGGGAAGCTCTTCGCTCCGAATGCTCGGGTCTCCTGCAGCAGCCGACGGCCGGACGGCATGACGACTTTGTCTGGATATGCAGCCAGTATTGCATTGGCGACGTCCCTGACGGCCGTCACCCCGGACGACCTTCCGATGCCAAAGCTCGACGAAGCGTTCTCAAACGTCTCCCCGGTGGCCCACCAGTATAATGCGAAGGCGACGATAAGGTCTGTCTGCAAGGGCTCGCGGTAGTGCGTCAGTCTACGGTCGATGAATGGACTGCAAGCCGCAACAATGTCCCCGAATATGGCCCTCGACATTCGAAGCTTGTCATGGAAATATTCATCCATCGCGTCGTCCACAATGTCCAAATCTCGCCACGTCCCGCCCGTTCATCTTTTCATCCACCACCACGGTGTGTCCCTGGGCAGAACACCAGCGACGATTGCGTTGGACAACAGGAAAGGAGCATCTGATGGACCGGACGATGTACAGACGTCTGCCAACGCCTGGGCTATGGCGGCCTCCCTCCTCCCCCTCCCCCTCCCACCCGCACGCCGCAACCCGTTCACCGTCTCCATGTACCGGCACACAGCGAGGACAGCACTGGCGACCATGCTCTTCTCACTGGTTGACAACCTCCTCGCCGCCTGTGGATCACGCCCACTGTTGTCCATAGCTAGACCACGCTGCGCACAAAACACACACGACAGCGACACGCGAAGCCACGCGCACGCTCAACGCACAAAACGCACACGACAGCGACACGCGCACGCTCAACGATGGATGACTGGCGTGTACACTACAGGAAACGCGACGGCGGGGAGTCCACAAAGCGATGACCGCGAAGGGAACTGGCGGGCGCGGAATTTGAATTCGAATGTTCGGGGTCCTAGCGCGCTTAAACCTCCACGGCCGAATGACGCTGCGCGCCCGCAACAGGCCCACGCCCGCGTTGGGGAAGTGGCAGGCCTGGGTTTCCCACGGGCCCAAGGCAGGCGGACACGATTTTGTCCGCCGCAACACTGGGTCGGACACTCGCATTCAATTCTCGGCCGCACAAGGCGCGAACGGGGGCACCTGAAATGTAAGTGCGATAAAGTGTAGGGTTTTCGTAAGTGGTTGTGGAACGAAAAACGGAGTAAGGGAAAACTAATCACATTTTCGTCGTAAGGGCGCCCTTACAAAGTAAGGGTTTTCTAGTGGTGTCGAACGAGGCCCTTATCCATGGTTTTCTTAAAAAATCTTCTGAATTTCTTTTGTAGTTCTCAGATTGTTCTTATTTGAAATTCCTAGATTGTTCTTAGTCGAAACCAGCGGTTATCTACGGTTTTCTTAAATTTCTCTTGAACTCTTGTCGTGGTTCTCAGATTGTTCTTAGCTCAAATTCTCAAGATTGTTCTTAGCCGAAGCCAGGTAATGGCCCTGGCATTTTGAATCATTTGTATCATTTTATATGGGATGCTGGGCCCGGTTCCCAGCACGTGTTCCTCCCCACGAATAGACTGGAGCATTTGTCCCCCCCCCGGCCCCAAAAAAAAAGGCTCGGCATCAATAGCTGGGCGAGGTACTGGTGGTTTAATACTCTGGATTCCAGAGTAATCAATGACTGGGGGAGGGAGGAATTAGTGTGTAACTCAGTCAATCCCCTGGATCCCGGGGTGCTCCCCACCAATAGATGGAGCCGCTCCCCAGGTGCTAGTAGTGTCTGCTCTTATCAGCACCACTAACACTGGTGGGGGTGTTGTTTCCAAAAAAAAAAAAAAAGATTCATTCTGCTTGCCCGCCCCTTCTCTCTCCATCACTCAGTAAGCCAAGCGGATAGCTCCCTTCCCCTTCCTCATAATTATGGAGGCCTTGTCTGCTAACCTGAGGACTAACAAGGACCCCAGGAGGATCAGGTTCGCTGGAATCCCTGCGGGCTGCAGAAGCAGCCCCTTTGTGCTCCCTCTTCGCTGACGACCTCACCTTTATGGCAGAGGCTAGCAAGAGAAACATGGAGGACATCCAGTCCTTGATGGACCACTTTTTTTTTTTTTTTTTTTTTTTT